TTTTTTAAAAAAAGTATGCAGTGTTGTAAAGAACATGATTTATTTATACGCAAAATCAGTTGGTATAAAGCCAAGGACTTTACTTGTTGACAGATGGTGCAGGTGAACTGATGGAGGCAAGATGATGAACCAGCTGTGAAGCAAGAGAAAACTGCATGGACCATCCGAGGTAGATTCTGTACTAAAAGGACAAATGTGGTGTAAGTTGACTGAATAAACTGTGGTGAAATAACAGATGTGTGAGTGTGAGATGAGTGGCCTTCCCAGTCAAATTTCCGCTGGAGCTTTATTAGTCATTCTCACTGGTTGGGCGGTCCCATAAATAACTTGCATTATGTGTGGCTACCCTACAAGGACCTTAAGATCTAAATTAATGCATCATATTTGCAGCTCACCTGGTAAACATCGGTGTGACATTCCAAACCTTAACTAGTCAATCTGTAAAATGTTTCCAACCAACAGACAAAAGTAGAACCTTTCAGTTGACAGTGATCTAAAAGAGAGAAGATCAGCAAAGCCTCACATTTAAGAAGCAGAAGCCAGAGAAGGTTTGATATTTTGATATTATTTGTTGAGCTCAGATTTCAGACAATGAATACTATAAGACCATCCTGTTCAGCTCAGGTTTTTGCATTTGGCTAAACTTATAAACTGGTTTGCTGTAAATGACATCAGACACCATCACAGTGTTCATACAGTACTGCACATATTACAAAATTGATGAAAACCAACCAGACCAACCAAGTAAGTGGGTGCTTTTTATCTGTGGTGGGGAGTAGTGAAATACAGTATATGTAATGAAACTAGTAGCAACTACATTTGGCAGTAGCTTGCTGCTACGTAGTTCAGCTACATTCACAGTTGCACAGTGATTCTAATAGTTACATTACTTTTTGCTAGTTTGCATAGTTAAGGAAAGGAATGTTTTAAAAAAAAATAGTTTGCAACAAAAATATAACACTCCTTTCAGTTTTGTTCTTGTGAAAAGCCTGGATGAGATTGTTTAGTTTAGGACAGGTTTTGGTCTCAGGGGTGTTCCAAGGAGCTGGACTGTCAGCTCAACTGTTTAGAATCTGAATATGTCAAAGTAAAGTTGAACTTATTAGCTGTCAGTTAATCATAAATATTGATTATTGCTACTTTTTACAAATGTTCAGGTACGTTGTTGCATAGTGTTTCAGAGTGACTTTAGGGACTTATGCAATAAACTGTAGATAACCCTGGAAAAGTGTGAAGTTCCCAACCCTCTCTGACTTGCATATCTATCCCCATACCTGTGGACATAACTGTGGCTGAATGTGATTTCTAAATGCATTATGATCACAGAATAAAAATTTCATTAATCTTGGTGTTAAGAGAATGCCAGTTAAATATTCAGTTTGAAACTCTCTTAAGACAGTATCAGCTAACATGATGTATATTCTCAAGCCTAACATGATTGATGATATATTTTGAGCACAGTGTGATTTTGACTGCTTTTGATTATCATTTCAGATTACTGTTTGCTGTGGATTATAGCTCGTGTTTTACAAAGTATACGCTATAATGTATTACTTTTAAAATATTTGTGTGATCTACATTACATATAAAGTTGCTTTGCTTAGATTCGCCATAGAACATACAGTAGGACTTGAGTGGGTAGAGGTTGTGACTTGCTGTTTATTACTACTTCTCTATTAATCCTTAATACATTTTTTACTTTAACTATTTTAACATGTTTATGGGTTATTGGTGATATTCTTCTGCTGTTGTCACACCCTAGATGTGACACAACAGTGGAGTTTATCCTATGAAAGTAAAGCATTGTATTTTTTTACCTTTTATGGCATAAACTGTACATTTAGCAAGATAATGGAAAGCCAGTGACCAGCCAGACAAGGATGTGTGGACTGAACATTGTGGCTGCACCATTCACCAATCCATCCATCCATTTTCCTCCGCTTATCCGGAACCGGGTCGCGGGGGCAGCAGTCTAAGCAAAGATGCCCAGACTTCCAGACACTTCCTCCAGCTCCTCCGGGGGAATGCCAAGGCGTTCCCAGGCCAGCCGAGAGACATAGTCCCTCCAGCGTGTCCTGGGTCTTCCCTGGGGCCTCCTCCTGGTGGGACATGCCCAGAACACCTCCCTAGGAAGGCGCCCAGGAGGCATCCTGTGGCTGCACCCTAGGCATGAAATGTAAAAGGACTGTGACAAAACAGGAATCATTTTGGACAGAGCAGAGGCATCAGCTGCAGCTTTAGAGCATCTTTAAATTTGCGAGCGCCCTCCTCACCTGATGAATATAACCAATCACATGTATATTGCTTTAAATTCATTCCTTTCTCTTGGCAGGGATTTAGTGGTTATGATGTGCTTTGAAGTACTGAATTTCTTATTAAATTAGCCTATAGAGGTTCAACTTAGAGTGGTTTGCTAGTGAGCTAGTCACTTTTAATTAATGACAGTGCATTAAGTTGCTAAAAGTAAACTAAATAAGTGCATCTAGAAGACCACAATGCCTTGAACAGTACTGC